TGGGGGAAAACCTCAAAAGGGGAGCGTTCAAGTCAAAGTGCTTTCAGGTATGGGAATGGAAAGTCTCCGTCAAAAAACTAATTCAACCAAGGAAGTAGTCTCCTGGGACAGGAAGTCCTGAGGTGGGGTGACCTTCAAGGTTGGTTAAGTCAGCCATTCGCTGTGGTGTGAAGGCCCAAGTTCTTCGAATCTTTCCTCTTTGCCATTCTTGGTAGGGTCTTCATTGTCAGGGATGCTGGTGTCACATCCATCACAATAAAGTCCAAGGTCAACAGGAGATCATTTCTTAGATACAAAGAGAACCTCAGCAGATTCTCCTCACATTACATTGACTAGAGTTGGGTCGTTAGTCCATCCCTGAACCGATCCTTGGTGAGAGGAATGAGACCCTCAGGCTTGGCGTGAAGTCAGCCTTCACAAGGCATGTGGCTGTGTGAAGAGGACACTGGGTCACCAGGAGAGTTCTCAGCGGAAGGAAGCAGTGGGGACAGGTAGACAACAGAATTGCTTACTACAAAGAGGGAAAGAAAAGAAGTAGAACTAGAAGAGCAGAGGCAGATAGTGAAAGAGACAGAGGAGGGAGGCAGGAAAGTGGGCGGAAAGAGCCAAACAAGATGGAGACAGAGACAGACAAGCTCATTATGTGGTGTCTGAGGTTAAAATGCTGTTGTCATATCTTGTTGCACACCCAGGCAACGTTTGAAGAACATGCTTTACCTGTTTTCATTGCCATTTGAAAAACTCATTAACTTTTCAGTAATTAAACTTATTAACCATTTTTCAACCTCAGAATTATAAAGGATGGCTGTAGCAGTCTCAGGCAGAAGATTGCTTTCCTTTTCTCTGTAAAATAGACTAGGATTTATTGAGTCATGAAGAAGTTGTGTGAAATAAATATAATGATGACTTAGTTATCTTCTTAATAGTAAAAAACGATATAATCACACTTTAAAAAATTGGAAACCAGAAACATGAAAACAAAATCACCTATAATCCCACAACCTAACAATTATGAATATTTTGCAAGAATTAACGCCTTACATTTTCTTCATATGATTTTTCTTCATACACGTTGGTAGAGTGCTTTTTTTGTTCAAAACAGGCATAACATATATATGGTATAAATTTCAAAAACAAGCAAAATGGCAAATTCAAAAATAAAGGAGGTCTCCTTCCTACTAATATCTTTTATTTTTTCCTTAGTTAGACTGTCTGTTAACAGGGAAATATATGTACACATATTATTTTGCCAACACACTTGATTTTTTACAACATGGTAGCCTACTGTGTATACTGTTATGCACCTATATTTTTAAAGTTTATATTACTTGGAGATGATTCCATATATAGTTTCTTTAAAATGTAACATAACTTATTCACACATTGCCACGTACTCTTTATAAAAATCATCATCCTTAATAGCCATAAAAAGTTTGAGCAAGTGATTCATTCATTCCCTTTATAAATATTTACCAAGCATCTGCCGCATCTGCAGAGCAGTGAAGATTCTAAGATTAAAACAAGATGGACCACACCCTTGAGGGAGTTCCAATGATGTGGAGGAGACAAGCAGGTAAACAAATAATTACAGGCAGTCTCTAAGATCCAAAATGGAATAAAGTAGGTGTTGAGAGAACACAGAAAGGAGCTTCCAAGAAGCTGAACAAAAGTGTCGAAGATACGCAAGAGCAATGGGCTCACAAACAAGGCAAAGGAGCATCCCAGACAGAGACCAGGTGTGGTCCTGGTGACCATGGGTTGGGTATAACCTCTTTAACTTGCAGCCAGTTTTCAATATAAATAATGTTGTGATATACAACTTATAGTTTATAACTTTTTCCATATTTTGAAGTATTTCTTTGGTTAGATTCCCAGCCAAATGGGAACTGCTGAGTCAAAATGTAGGAGCACTCTGACCTGTTACATGTAATCAAAGTGCTTTCCAAATGGACCATATTTTTTCATAAGGATACCAGCAATATATTAGCAAACCAATGTTCATTATTTTCGTGACTTTATCATTAATTTGTTTTAATGTATATTTCTTTATTAGAAGGTTAAATTTTCCCATATATCTGTTGCTATTTTGATTTCTTCTTATGTGGGTTGTTTTTTGTTTACATACAATTATGAGATTCTATATTTCATCTTAGCTGCAATAAGCACTGCTTACAATACAGATATTCAGACTTCTTTTTCATGTTTGCTGCCATTTTTTTTTTCTTGGTTAGGTTACAGAAAAAAAATTTGACACATGTAGTTTTTAAAAGTATACCCAGTCACGTTCGTTGATTTTTTCCTTCTATTGCTTCTAAGTTGAGAAATACTTCTATGCAGAAATTTAATGAGTCTTCCATTTTCTTCTGTTTTGCTTAAAAATATATATTTAACTCATTAATCCTCCTAGAACTTACTTTGGACATATGGGATGTTATGAAAATTCAACTAGATTCTCCCCCCTTTTCCAAATTTCCGGGAATTATCTGCACTTTCCCTTCTTCATTGATTTTTCTTTTCTTTCGGCTAGGTGTTCCAGGGATTGAACTCACTGGCATTAAACCACTGAGCCACAACCCCAGCCTATTTTGTATTTTTACTTTAGAGACAGGGTTTCACTGAGTTGCTTAGCACCTTGCTATTGCTGAAGCTGGCTTTGAACTTGAGATCCTCCTGCCTCAGTTTCCCAAACTGCTGCAGGGGTGTGCCACCATGCCCGGCTTGATTGCTATTTTTAATACTTTATTTTTTAGAGGAGTTTCAGGTTCACAGATATGGACAATAAGACTATATATTGTATGTCCCATACTATATACTGAATGTCATACTATATGACATTCTGGAAAAGGCAAAATTATGGAGATATTAAACATCAGAGGTTGTAAAAGACTAGGGGGGAGGGAGGAATGAATAGGCAGAGAACAGAGGACTTTTAAGGCAGTAAAAATACTCTATATGATACTATAAAAGTGCATACCTGTCATTATAAATCTGTCCAATCCCATGGAATGTTCAACACCAAGAGCAAACCCTAATATAAACTATGGACTTGGGTAATAATGATGTGTCAGTGCAGGTTCACCAACTGCAGCAAATATTCCCTCCCTCTGGTGGGGGATGTTGAGGAGGAGGCTATGCATGTGTGGGGGCAGTGGTATATGATATCTCTATATCTCTGTTAATTTTTTTTCAAAGATAAATCACATTTAGGAATCAACAAGTTATCACTTGGAACTAATGTCTAGCTCTTTTCTGAAATACCTCACATTGGCTTAAGACAGACCATTCCTTTGATTATCCAGTATCCTTGCAGCAAGTTTCTATTTATATATCTAATTACAACATAGCTGCAAATAGGCTTAGGTAAAGCCTATGGTGCTTTCTTGTTAATAGGGAAATCCACTACTGAAAGAATATCTTTTGAAGCCATATTTGTGGGTGGTATGGCCTATGTTTTGGGTCAGTGGAGAGCACTTTTGAGGGAGAGAGTTATTTCATCCAAAGGGATAAGTTATCCTTAGTCATTGTTATAGCCTCGATGGTATTAAATGAGTAGGATCCCCTAGCCCTCCATTTTTGTGGGTAATCTGGCTCACAACTATGACTTCAATAGAGCCTCGATCTGAAGGCCAGACCCATCTCCAAATGCGGTTTGTTAAAGGAAACAGGAACTTCTTGCCTCGCCAAAGCTTGATTATAGGTTGTTAACTAGCTAGCCAGTTTTTGAGAAAACTGAAAGGTGGTTATCTAGGGAAGTCCTATGTAGGAGGCTCTCAAACTCAAGCCTTCTTAAGTATCACCTGGGAGCTTATTAAACACGCAATTTCTGGAAGCATACTGGGTTGCACAGGATGTTGCTGGCAAATTTTCCAGATCTCATCACTTTTTCTGTCTGAGCCCTAAGAAAATTCCCACAGATATTTCCACACAATTCTGAGCATTTTCCCCTTATCTTTCTATGAAACTCTACTACATGCTTTGCCGGCACTTGAAAAAGTGCTCCAGAGGAAGGGTATGTTGCTAATGGGCACAAACTGCTCAGGTAGGGTTCTAAAACAATTTTCGGCCTCGCGTTCTATCCATCCCCAAGGATCAAGAGCTTAATAAATCTGTAAGCCAGATTCGGATTCCCCAAAGGACCGTTCTGGAACCCTTTCTGGATTGCTTCCTAGAGTTGGGAACCTGGCACGTTCCTTTAGCACTATTCTGCTGACAGCGGGGGACGAAGACATGCATGGTCAGACCTCTTTGGGGCCATCTTTCCTTCCTCGTTCCCATTTCTAAGATGAAAATAATTTCTCCTGCAGGTGGGGAGGTCAGATTACAGTCGCCAGGGACTCAGGAGACTTTCCTTTGCATCGTCTCCAACCCGCTTCTCTCTCTCTTCCCCAACACCCTAACTACTCGTGGTCACCCCCAGCTAAGTCCTTGACCAATTTCCTCTCCTGCTTAGTGGCACAGCGTTCTTCTCTTGCCACAAAATACGGTGGTGGAGGAGGGGGCGTGAGTGTGGTTGCGATCGGAAGGGGGGTTGTTCCGGGAGGGGTAGATTCCCCACACCCAGCCCTCTCTCCAGGGAGCGAACCTCTCTCCCACTTCCCTCCAGAACTGCGGGCTGCTGTTGGTGGCAGAGAGGGACCCGCGGATCCTCCATCCCTGTCACTCTGCCACGCTGTTCCCAACCGGCGCGCTCCCGGGGCGCCCTTATTCCCTTCCGTCTACTGTCCTCCCCATTTATTCCGCGACAGCGCGAGGGTTTTGGGGCTGACTAAAGAACCCGTGGAGAGAAAGAGAGCAGGAGGGGAAAAGAGCCGCGGAGGGAGGCTGCGGCGGCGGCTAAGTGGTGTCACTGCCACTCGGGAGCGCTGGAGCCCGTGCACGCGCGCGCTCCGCGGAGGCTCGGCGGTGGGCGGAGCTGCAGGAGGCGCGGGTGGTGGAGCCGCGGACCAGGCGGGCGGAGCGAGCGGCGGGAGGAGCGAAGGGTGGGAGGGAGCGCGCGAGCAGCGGGCGAGCTGCGTCTCCGCCAGCATCTGCCGCTGCCGCGTTTGCCCGAAGCCCGGGGACCGATCGCCGGACTGGCCGCCTGGCGCACGGACGCAGGCGCCCGCTTTGTGCTCAGGGCCAGCTTCGGCTAGGCTCGGGTTTGCAGCGTGCTGCTTCTCGCCCGCTCACGGACACCCGCTCCGGCGGCCTCGGCTCGCGAGGGGCTGGAGGTGCGGGAGCCGCTTTCCGCTGGTCGGTCCCCGCGCGGCTGAGCCCGGGCCGCCCGCGCCGCGGCCCCGAGCTCAGCTCCTTGCCGGGCTTGCTCCGAGCAACGGTGCTCCGGGGCTCCAAACTCGGGCTGCCGGGGCAAGTGTCTTCATGAACCCAGAGGATGTCCGGGAAGCACTACAAGGGTCCTGAAGTCAGTTGTTGCATCAAATACTTCATTTTTGGCTTCAATGTCATATTCTGGGTAAGTTGGAGCGCTCCAGGGATCTCAACTATTGTGGCCGATCGATTCTCGACAATTTTCCCCCGCGTCGTTTGCTGCTTTTACTTTTCGCAGCCCCTCGGGCGCTTGCAGAAGCCTGGAGAGGCATTTGCCTTCAGTCTTTCCAGCTTGCGCGTTGAAGAGAGAAACATTTAAATCCTTTCTAGGAATGAGAGGGGTAAAAAGAAAAACCGAGCTGGAAAGGGGGCACCCAGGCCTTGGGGTGGCTTTTTAAGGGACGAATAGTAGGGATGCAGATAAAAGAAAGGGCTCGGCAGTTTGAGAAACGAGCAACCACACGAATTAGATTTGCTCCCGGTGGGATATGGATGTTGGGCAGAGCGTGGTGTCATAATAGGGCAGGCTAATAGGGCAGAGCCGACCCCGAGGTCCACCTTCTAACAAGGATCTGATTGGACGAGGGCTCGGCTCCGTGTTGCCGCGGCTGGTCTGTGCCGTGCTTAGCGTGTATCTCTTTGCACCATCTCGGGCTTTGTGTAGGATGCAGATGCTGTGGTATATGGTTCTGTAACGTGAATGTAAATAACGCTTCCTGCACGCTTTTACCCCTTTCAGCTGGAAAGCGCTCCCTTTGCATAATGGACTGGCCAAGTGGGCGTGCGGAGTGGACGGATTTATTTCTATATATATCATTGTCAGGATAATAATAAGTCACCATCAACATATGTTTCAGTATGCTCGTGTCTCACGTCCTCCTTTTTTAAGGAGCGACACAGAGCTGGATGGGTTTTGGTAACCCTTGGAGAAATGCAAGGGAGAAGGTGTGTGAGATGTGTTTTACTGGAGAACCCAGAGAGCAGATGCTTGAAGACAAGATTCAAACCATGCTCTCTGCGTGGTAATACTGGGTGCTGGGTATCTATGGTAATTGGGCTGGGACCCTACTCTTTTGTTTTGATTTTTGTTCCACGATCTTGTAAATGTGTTCTGCAACCAGACAAAGAGTTCTCCAGGACAAGGGGAAAACACTGGGTTTTCTCCCCATCTCATCCTCTTCCTCACTGGGAAACCCCTTTCCCCTTGAAAAGTAAAGATGGTGGCCATCTGGGGGTGTTCTCTAAGTTGCTGTTCAGTGTGAGGTAAACAATGATCTAACTGCAGGATCAATAATAGTCTACAGCCGTCTGAACATAGGGTATATTTATTTGGATCTCTTTTAATTTGGCTATTTGCTATAAATGTAAACATCTGTAAGAATAGTTGTCAGTGCAGCTCTTTATATTCTTTTTTCCCTACCACACTTTTACTAGGTTATTTTATTTTCTATTTTCTATAGGAGCATCTTGCTTTGGTTATGTATGTTTTGTGAAGGAAATGGAAGAGACCACTTTGTCATCTGTTCTCAGAACTGATAAAAATTAATTGGGGGACATGTGAATAGGTTTATGGGCAGGTTTTTGTCAGTTAACTACATGGTTCCTATAAGCACGCTGCCCCCCCCCCCAAACATTGTTGCAAAAATAGTGAGAATAAATTATTTTCTTTCTTTGCTTCTCTCTCTAATCCTTTCTGGAAATGTTTAAGTGGTAGGTTGGCCTATTACCGAGTAAACTATTTTGATTTTATCAGAACTTACTTCTTGACTTTGAGAGGCAAGGACCAGTGGAATTGAGCTGGCCCTTGCAGGGACAGTGAGTCCAGGCCTCTCCATTCTGCTTGAACACTTCCAAAAGTTGCACATTTCAGCTACCAGGCAACAAAAAGCACCCAGGGGCTTTCTCTACAGTTTCATAGCAGGGAGTGAAAAGGAAATAAAAGGATTTGGGCCTGTTCCCTGACAGTTTAGTGTAATTTTGTAGAGTGCACAGAGGCAAATTTAGCCTTTTCTCTGGATTAGGTTGCAACAGAACCCCTGGAATTATGCAGAGCTTCAAAGAATTACCGAGCGCTTGCATGGAGAGTTCCAGAATAGATCCACATCTTGTCTGATTTTGAAGGTCTTCATGTGGGTGGGAGGGAGTTCTGTAGAAAGCCTGAAAGCAGACTGAGGCTGTTTCTAAACCAGCAGCCCAGGCAGAATTGTTAAGTAGGTGCCTACTTAAGAGGGCCCTCCTCTTCCCTGCTGCCTATATGCCCTCCCCCACTTCTCTGTGTAAAGCTTTTTTTCTCATCTGTCCCCTCAAACCTTTCCTGTCTAGCTCACTGTTCCAAAATCACCCTATATTTAAATTTCTCAGTTTATCAGAGCCACCTCTTCAGTGCTGCTCAACAGGAAGGCATCTGTGTTATTTGATTAAAATAATTCAGACTACGATGTTAGTGACTGAAGAACTGGGGTTAGTAGTGCAGGCAGTGTGTTTCAAAAAGTTGCTCAGTTCTGATCTTTACAGTCATCAACCTGTGTGTGAGGGCCAGAAACAGCTGACTCAATGCAGCTCCTGTACAACTATGAAGAAGAAACTGCTAACAGACAGCATGGTTTCCTGCTCTTTCATTTTCACACTGACACGCTAGAATAAATTCGAAACACATTGAAGATGTGTAGAGATACAGATCTGGTAAAATAAAATGGAAAATATTGTGGCACTTGTACACAGTGTGCTCCTTTTACTAATCAGCAGTTAGCCAGTAAACTGCCCTGTGCCTCAGTTTCTCAGCTGTTAAAATGATGGGATTGTTGAGTTGTAAAGTTCTTTCTGGTTATGACAAAGAATGAAGCTATTGAGTTCTAATATGTGGGCAAAGAAAAATATAAGAGATGGGCACTGATATATATAGCATATACGGGGACACTTGTTAAGTTAATAGACTTTTTTTTTTTTTTCCTGAGACTTTGCTGGAGACCAGTTTTATTACTTTCATTTCTTTCTCAAAGATCCTTTCAATTAAAAAAATACTTTTGCTAATTTCTTTGTGGTCTGTTTAGTTATTGGTATGGTATTCATGCTTCCCTTTACCCACTGTGAATCTCAAAAGTAGTCCTGTGAGTCATTAAATATATTTTTATTATTAGAATTACAGTTTCATGTGTTAAATCTGAATCATTTTATATAACAGTTGTAATGATATTCTGAGTAACAAAGTTAACATCTTGTACAGATTCCTTTCTCATTAGTTATCACTGGGTGGTAGGCAAAACAAGGTTTTCCCTATTATATATTGGAACAACTCAAGACAAAGAGGATTGATTTTCTTGAGGGTGTCACCAAACTATGACATTTCTCAGAAAACCCTAAGATATCTTTGGGGAAGGAAGAGAAAGAGGGTTTTGTTTTATATTTCATTTTTTGTAGTGCCGGGGAATTGAACCCAGGGCCTTGTGCAGGCAAGGCAAACATTCTACCAACTGAGCAATTATCCCCAGCCTCAGGGTTTTGTTTTAAAGTCAGTCATTTTAGGTACTGAATCCTTATATCGTATTATCCATCTTTAATACATATTTTGCTTTGGACCTTGATTCTGATACATAACTGTTTCTGGGCAAGTAGATTAATGTCAATATTCCAGTTATTTATTGCTACATAACAACCCCCAAATTTAGTGATTTAAAACAAAATTTAATTATTATAGCTCATAGTTCTGTAATTTGGCCAGGTTCATCTGGGCAGTTCTCCCTGGGGGTCTCTGGTGCACTTGCAGTGAAATGTGGCTGGGGCTGGAGTTAGTTGAAGCCTCCCTGAGGTGGAATGTCCAAGATTGTGCTCTCTCATGACTGGTAGTTGATGCTTCTTGAAGACTCAGCCAGAGCTGTTGACCAGAGCACCTGTAGGTGGCTTCTTCCTGTCTCTGAGACTGGAAGAAGCAGCCTCCAGTCAGTTTAACTGTATCTGGAAGTGCGACAGTGTCACTTTCATCTGTTCCATTGGTTAAAGGACTTACAGAGCTTGCTCAGTTGCAGGGAGGTGAAGAAATAAATTATTCTTTTTGATGGGGGCGTGTCAAGGTAACATTGCAGAAGGTTGTATGAGTTGCAGCCATCTTGGGAAAATACAGTCTGCTTTTCTGAGCTTTAATTTTTTATTTATAAAGATAATATTTGTCTAATGGCATCATGGTTTTTCAAGGATTCACTAAAATAATATACTAATTAGCACAAAGTCTCAGTATTTAAGAAATGGTGAAGTTCATTATTGTGTTCGGATACCATACCAGTTCTATCCTGGGCTAAAGAACTTCTCGAATGTCTTTGCTAGTACTTTGGACTCATTACTACTAGGTAATGATAATACTCTTAAGATCTGCCAAGGATATAAGGCAAGTGGATTTGATAGATTTTTATCATGATTTATTAGAAAAGACCCCATAGATCAGTGGAAGCCCTGAACAACTTACGAGAATCAAGTCATTTTCTGTTCTCTGTGGTACAAGGATAGAACAGCCTTGGATACTTGAGGCCAAATTTCTTTTTTGGTGTGCTTTCAAATATTACATTGTGTTACAGTGGTGGTTTATCTGGAGTTGATGGCAGAATGTTGCATCTAATTTGCTTCCACAGGGCTTAAATTCAGAGAGGAGGGAGATTTAGGGAACCTTGGGGAGGGTATCAAGTAGGAAGCCTTATCTTATGATTCACTATAAACTGCAAGATGTTCTGGAATGATGATACATCAGCAGTTTATAAGTCATAATTTTTGTTTTAATTTGCTAGACATCTGTTAGCTTCGATGGCAACCATATGGGAGTCTAAATTGCCTTTTGAATTACAGGGAGATGATAGAAAGAAAGCTAAATACGGTTATGGAAGTGTCATGTGGGAAAAGCATAAGAAAGGTATGCGGACCTCAGTGGGGAAAGTAATTGAACATTGACTTGCTTGTTCTGGCCACTCACTCAGTCTGAGGTGCTGGAGCATTCTCACTTGATGATATACTTGAAGGTTGAAATGAAGCCAAAGGGAAAAGTTGGAAAACCAAGTCATATTCTGCCCACCATAAAACTGCCAAGGTGAGCTCATTTAGATGGATCCCTCTGTCTTAAAAGCCATAGTAATAGGTAGTCCCTGGTAAAGGTTAAAGCAATGT